TAAGTGCAATTAGTAGATCTTTCTATGAAAATAATGTTGAGGTACAGAGGTTTATGAAAAATGCAGTGTTACAAAAATGCACATCCTCTCTTTATTATATTTAAGTATTGTTTGCCTGTTTTATTTTGCTTAGAAAATACTGAAATGAGAAATAAAGTGGATTGACTGAAGTTAATGATAGTGGAAAATTAACAGGAAGTGATGTTTTTAATTGTAAAAGCTAAAAATTCAGTGTGATTTTTGCTAAAATATATTTACAATTTTAATTGCTGAGATATAAAAGAGACTACTTGCTGAGTCTATCATTACTGACTGGTATTACTCTTTGATTGGTGCAAATTACTGTTTGTTATAATGCTTCAACCAATCAGATTAGTTTAACTATGATGGTATAAAGATGAACTTTTTTACATTATTCTGTGATTCAGAAATATTTGTGAGTACCAGAGACAGTAAAAATTATGTAAAGAAAAATGTTACATGTTATTATTAATTGATTTTATTATGGCTGCTCACTCCAAAAATCTGTTAAAGTGTTGACCATACCTAATCAGAAATATCAAGCCTAACTGATTCCAATTTATCTTATTTGTAGATTGCTTAATAAGTAGTCTTGATTCTACAAATGGTGATCTGTCCAAACACAGATTCTATTTGCAGGCTGTTATTAGTTAAAATAAAAATATTTATGAAGTGCTGTCTTCTCCCTGAGCACAGTATATGAATCCACTGATAAGCTAGGCAGAGGTATATATTATCCAAATATTTTAAAAAGTCATGAAATATAGTAGCATGCACTTTTTTGAATTTCTCCTTTGGCTGAGTTTTTAATTGAGATGCCTCATTGTTTTTGAAGAAAATTTCTGAACTTTTATGAAAGAGATAGTACCATAGCTGTGAAGATAAGACTGGTTGATAATTTGGTACTTGTGAGCCTAAATACATGTACTCAGTTTTTATTTCATTATATTTTACATCTCACTGTTCAGAGATGTGACCATCCTCCGAGAAGCAATATGAATTAGCTGTGTGAAGCATTACATAATTCACTCCAGATGATTTTTTTTCACATGATAAATGTAGTGTTGAACAAGATTCCCAGATCTCTTTTCAAGATGAAATTGCTTCTGTTGTTTTTCTAGCATTTGAAAATTTTAGAATATATTCTTTTTACCCATGCAGGGCTGATATAGTAGTGTGAGGTGCGTGACTATCAAATTACGTATGACATCAGTAGCCATGAATGACACAACTGCGCTCTGCTTGGGCTATTTTAAAAATCCTTAATTATTTCTTTTCTCTAGAAGCCAAAGACTCTGTGCTATTTGAGTGCAGAGAACCAATACAGCAGATAAAATGTTGTTTATAAATAACATGATTGTTTTTTAATGAGGGTGCTATTTCTGCTTTTGATGGGCCATATACCAATTTAATTATTTTGATTAATATTATAGTCCCAATAGAGATTGAAAATAGTTTTCAGGAAAGCATGCTTTTTTGAGAATGGTCTGACTTCATTTAATGGAGAACTACTATATGTTTATTTGCATATGTATTATTCCATATAAATGTCAGGGAAACAAATAACGAAAGAAACAAAAGGTTTCAGGTCTGACAATAATGTGGCTTGATGGCATTTTTAAAAATATGAATACTACAATGTTTTTAATCTGAAGCAATTTTTACAAAGCCTTCAACTTGAATGAGAAAAACATGACAATCTATGTAAAAGCTTGCTGCATCGTTTAAGCCAAAATAGAAAATAATGAATACATATGTTTGTGGGAGGGAAATGTATATTTGTTTAAAATATTTCAGCTGGTCTTTGTACAAAAATTACTTCCAATAATATAGTAGTGTTGATTTTTGATGGATTATATTTATTGTTTTTTTATTGTTGTTGATTATTAATTATTGTATCCACTCATTATCCCTAACTTGATCCCTCAGCTCTTCCAATGAATCACTTGCCACTTAACTGAGTCCATTCACTTTGCCTTTAGTTGTCCTCTTTTTCTCTTTCCTTCTACCTTTCTGAGCACCAGTGCCATTTTTAGAGAACTAGGTTCAAAATATACTTTGAGCCTGGTCATTTGTGCCTCAAGTGAGAAATGTCACAGTGAAATTATTTTTTTTCATCTTTCTTAGCTTTCATAATACAGGGTTGTGTTTTTTTTTTGCTGAGATTATTAATTTGCTATTCATTCCTGTAATGAAGGCCAATCTACATTTTTATCATCCAAGTAATGATATATTTGAGTTATATATTTATAAAAGGCAATATATGTGATTTTAAAAGGCTTTTATTTGAGGGAAAAAATAGATATAAAACATTTCAGTAATCTTCCTTTGAGTCAATCTGCCATAATACATGAGATGATTGGGATGAGGAACATGCCTTTTTTTTCAAACATGAGGAGTGCTATGAGTTATAAGTACAGCTGCTAGCCCCCAGTAGATATCCTTGACACAAAATTTCCCAGAAATATTATCATTTTTATCAATCACTGTTTCCTACTGAAATAATAAATTGAATCTGTTCCTTAGTAGTATCTAATAATTGATGCTTCTTGAACAATAACATTTCTTAGCAACAGGTAATTTGTAATGAAAGTGATAACCTCACTGACAATGTCATAATGTAAATTTCAATAGTAGGGTGAGTTCACAATCTGTTATGAGCTTTGTGGGATTTTGTGGATTGGATGACTGTATTTATAACATAAAACTGCTGAATATGTACTTTATAGATGAAGATACTTGGATAGTACTAGAGCCCTCTTTGTTTTATGGGGGTGGAATGGATGCGGGGAATGAGGATATGATGCAGATACGAATGCAGTAGTGATGCTGGCTTGTAAGAATGTTGGTGTGTCCTTGTAAGAACAGAAATTGATAGTGAGTTTTTAATTCTTTATAGTAGCACTATTATTGGTAGAGTGTTCTGTATTAGGTTTAGATTACAGTGCAGCAGAGATGCACACAAAATATGTCTAGTTTTGAACCTAGTTTAGCAGAAACAAAATCTGGAATGCTGGTGTAAAATTGCATAATTTACAAACAAAGAAGAAAATAAATCTCAAAATAGACAATCTAACATGGAACATGATGTTTTAAGAGCTTACCAGAAAGGAAGGAATAAGAAATCAGCTCATATTTAACCATTGTTAATGTTCAGTTACGACCTTCATTACTTTCTTTCATTTACTTTCCGTAAGAGAGGAAGTTGAATATCCAAGGTCAAAATTTTTCCGCCACTTAAATGCAAGAATTATGTAAAATAGAGATTATAAATATATTTTATAAAAATATTATAAAATAAAATCAGTATTGTTATGAATCAGTAATGAATAAATTTATTATGCAATACGGAGTAACAAAGACATGTCACTGTCATGATTATGGTCCTGGAATCTAATACTGACTCCAAATCGTATCAGATTGGACATGATTTAAGTAGCTTATTTATTAAATACGACCTATACAATTTGAAATGCTTATCCTTTGTATCACTTCTGTATATGCTAGCAATCCAGTTTAAAAAGAAAAGAAATATCTCTAATTGCTTGGGAATCCATTTATTTATTGTATAGGGAGCAGATGTCTCATACCCATTGTTGAAGAAAACCCATTTGTTACTAATAGTCTATAATAGGAGGAAAGCTGCTTCTGCACTTGTCTCCAGTGTCAACTGTTCTGTCTTCCACATAACTTTAGAATCCTATCTTTGGTTTGTAACCTGAGTTTCAGGAGTCAAACATGTAAGCATACGAGCTTATATTTTAATTCCAGTGGTGTCCTTTACTACAAACCAGCCTCATAAAAATTTCAATAGCACTTTCGTTACTTCACTTTTATCAAAGGCTAATATTCTGTGTTCAACCACTTCCTATTTTTTTTCCTGTTAACATTTTCTTCTTGAGCAGAGTAAGTTAAATTCAGTGATTTCCTTCCACATAATTGTATGTAGGCTTTAATACATTTTATTTTCACAAACTGTCTTGCCAGCTTGTTGTATACTTTTATGGAGGATTGATTTGTAGTTTTAAAATCAACTGTAATAACAGTGAAAACTGTATTTCAGATTTCATTGAATTGTTAAGAAATTATAGAATTTGTTGATTCTCGGAAGTGGATTATCACTGACTTGGCGACCAGTAAAACCTTTGGATCAAATAGTACAGAATTAGAGCTAGCTCATATTGACCATACTAAGTCTACAACAACTTTTAGCTCCACATGAGATGGGGACTGAAAGAAATTCAGAAAAAGATCTGAAACAATTGTAGCTTATTTTAAGTGATTTTCATATCCTGATTGATTTATCCTGCTTCTTTTAATGATAATGAAAATAGTCTCTGAGCTCCCCTTTTTTAGAAGTTTGCAGTGTATTTTGCAGAGAAACACATCAGTGGAAAATACTTTTCAAAAGCGTGGCTCAACTAGAAAAAACATACAAAGAGTACAATTGGAGAGAAAATTTTTACGACAATAGATACACATTTTCATGTTAAATGACTCTCTAAATTGATTAGAAATGGCTGAAAAGAAAAGTGAAATATAAATGAAATAGAATACACCCACACACACCCACACACCCACACCATGTCCTTACATGCTGTAGTTTATGAAGGATATACACTTTGTGTTGAATTTCTCTTACACTAATTTTTCCCCTAGTTTGAGGACTCAGTAATTTTTTGCTAACTGTGCTGCTAGATCTGATTTGACTTTTCCATTTAAAAGTCAAGCTAAGGCAAACACAATTGATTAGTTTTTGTGAATAATAGTTTTGTTATTCATGTAACTCTTTGATTGAATGTTGCCAAATTTCTTTTTTTTAATGGTAATGTTTTATGCCAATAGAAAAAGTATTTAAGTTTGCACCAAAAAAAAGAGATCATCACATTTTTAATGTTATTTTTGTTTCAGAACCCTGGAGCATAGGGTTCAATTCCCTGTTAAGTCTATGGCTGAGCATGGTGGCCCTAAGAGAATCACTATCTTGCAGCTTCAGGTTCCTAGTTGTAAAATGGGAGTAATAGTGACTGTTCTTCAAAAGGTATCAGAAGACTGTAATACTGAAGGTATTTGAATTTGTTTTCTGTTTTAAGATAAAGTAGATTATATGTAGTATAATAAAAAGACATACTTCACGTACCAGTGATAATAACACTCTTCCTCATCCTAGCATTCTTATAATGTACAGATGTGCAGTTCCTTTTACACTCAGAACCATGGCGATTGGGTAGGTAATATGGATTACATTTTCTGTATCTACAAAGAGTTTTTGTTAGTACTCCTTTTTTGTTCTGAATTAATGTTTTTCAAATTTAAATTGCAGAACATCAATCTTTTTTTTTTTTTTTTTGTGGAACACACATGACTGCTTCTTTAAAAAAAAATTGAAGTAAAATCATAAATTATACAACATAACATTTCCACTTTCATGAAAATGAAGTCGAAAGAACAAATAGTAACATTTTTAGTATTTTTGAAGGTGCCCATGAAACAATACCAAATTGTTTAGGGAATACTGATATTCTTTGGGACACAATTTAAGAAATACTGGATTATCAATCATAAGGTGGTTTCTTATAAAGTCATTACATTTAAACTATTTTCATTTTAATTTATAGTTATATACATTTAAAACAGATTGTATGGATGATTTTGTCATAAAATATCAGTTAAGTAAGAATTAAATCTAGAGAGATCCGGCCATGAATGGTGTGAATGGGTTTTAATTGTTTTTAATGGTTTAACTTTTAATGTTTTATATATGGTTTTTAAATGCATTGTAAACCACCTTGAGTCTTCGGAGAAAGGCGGCATACAAGTTGAACAAACAAACAAATAAATAAATAAATAAGAAAGCTTCATTTATTTTTTGCTTGATAGCTGTGGACATTTCAAAGGGAAGTGAAGGGATCCAACCACCTGTCATTTTAACATATCTAGGGCTCTTATGGGATAGGAACCAGAAACAATCTGGGAAGCAAAAGAAAATGCTTGAGTTCAGTCTTTGCTTTCTATCGTATTCCAATCTTTTTTTAAAGTTAGAATAAGAAGGAAAAGGAACCTAGCAGGTACTACAGGAGATATCCATTGATATGCTTATAAAATACGTGACAGAATATAGATGCAAGCACGGGTGGACTTCAGATCCTTTAGTACCGGGTTCACTGCCCCGTTGCTGGATGGGCGTGGCCATGGTGAGCGTGGCCTAGTTGGCTGCCTGCACCACAGCCGGGGGGGGGGGCATTTTTTACCCTCCCCAGGCTCTGGATGCTTCTCTCGAGCCTCCTGGAGAGCGAAAACAGCTTCTCCCGGGCTCCAGAAGCCCTCCGGAGGCCAAAAACAGACATGTTTCCGGAATCTCCGATAGGCCTGTTTTTTGGCCTCACAGACCCTCCACGCGGCCCCTGCACTTACCTAAAATGATGAATGGACCATGTGGAGACTCCGGGGAGGGGTGGGGTACGGTGGGAGGGGTGGGGTGGGCATGGGCGTGGCCAGCCAGGGGTGGCATTTGGGGGTTCTCCAAATGCCGGCGATCCTTGGCTAGAGGATCACCCGAACCCTGCCTAACCCTTGGATGTAAGAAAGACTTTATAGTTGTTTTTCTAAGAACAAGTCTTTATTTCTTGTATGTTATTTAAGGCTAGTTTATTGGAAAAGTTTGGAAGAGCCATTGTAACTGAAATAGTTTCAGTGTTGTATTATTGTGAACTTGAAATTAAATATTGAGGAAATTGTTAGAAAGATGAACTGAAATTTTACAACTTTTTTCTTTGTTCCCAAGGCTATGAGTTTTAAATCAATACATGCATAAGTGAAAATTGGATGTGCATATCAGATGGACCTATAGAGTGGTTTGAATTTGAAGGCAAAATAGTGCTTGTCAGCAACTCTTTAAATCGAAGAGGCATTTTTCTGAAACTTCATTGTAGCTGAAAATAAAAATCTTAGCAAGATACATTCATTTCCCAAAAGAATGATGGAAAGTGTGAGTAAGAAAAGGTGATGTGGAAGTTGTTTGAAATAAAATAAAATATTTAGATTACAAAGTGCTGCAGATGTGTGTGGCATTAGGCTAATGAGAACTATGAAAAAGTAAGGGCAGGGCAAAAGTTGCTTTCTGCAATGAAGTTGAAAAAGCTATTGGTAGGAAAAAATACACATTTAAGAGAATTGTTGCTCAAAAATCAAGGATGACAAAAAGTTATTGTATTTTATATACAAACACATGCACATACATGCACACATAGACATACCGTATTTTTCGGACTATAAGACGCACCGGAGTATAAGACGCACCTACCTTTTTTGTTTTGTTTTTTTTATAAAAAGTTTTTGATTTTTTAGACAAACACGCATAAAAACATACAATGTATTTTCTTTCAACAGAGTATTTGAGCCAGTTCACAAATTTAAACAGTGTTTAGTCATTTTAATTAAATTTACAATTTCTATATTTCCTTTTTGCCATATTTATTCCTCATCTATTTTTTAAAAAACCAATATTACTCTTCATCCTCATCTCTAATCTTAATCAAATTCAATTTTTCCCTTCTATTCTATATTATACCCCTTCCCATTGTCATCTATTTTTATATCCATCCTCACATTGGTTAATTATGTAATATTACAAATTCAACATTTTAATATAAATCAATTAGTTATATAACTACCTTTTTTGTATATTAATCAATATGAACATGAATATTCCAATTATTTCCATGCAATCCAATTTCTTACAAATCAATTAATTATATTTACCAATAATAATAAACCAAATAATTTCCCCCATATATTCCTCCAAACCACAACTTAACCATTTCTGCTTTCAACACAATATACAATTAATAGTATCTCAATTATTACAATTCCCTAGTTAAATAGAGCTTTCCCCTCATGTTACTCATTTTCACATCTTAAACTCTCCCAATAACCCAAATAGTTTTGCCCATATAATCCTCCAAATGACAACTTAAATCATTTCTACTTTCATCACAATATATAATTAAAAATATTTCAATCGTTACAATTTACCTAATTAAATTTAAAAATGTTCTAGCTGTTATCCAAGCTACAACTTAATTCTTTTTACTTTCACCACCATATACCATTAAAAGTATTTCAATTCTTACAGTTTATACTTATTCATATTTCTAAAAAAAGGAAAAAAAGAAAAACTTATTACTGTCTAGATTTCAAAAATACAAAGACAAATATTCATTTCATTTTTACAATCATGATTTCCCATTTATTTCTTACTACTATTCATATTTCAATTCTAAATATGTATAACATCTTTCTCTTTCATTTCTTTTTCTTTTTCTCTCTTCCCATTTTTATTTTTGCCTTTTTCTTTCTTTTTTTCTTTTGTGTTTTAAAATCTTGAACTCTCCTCTTTTGCCCTAAATTTCCCATTGTTTTCACCTACCTTTTTTGGTGAGGAAAAGAAGAAAAAGAAATCTCCCTCTGCCTCTGAGCAATTTTGCCTGGTTGCAGTAAACAGCCTGCTTTATTTTCATTTTCATTTTCAGCATAGCTTGATTAGCACAAGGAAAAAAAAATCTGCTCCAGCAATTTACCTCTTTGTAGCAAGCAGCAGAGCCCTGCACAAAACAGCTGAGAGCAAATCAGCTGAGAGTCCGGAATCAACTTGTGCTAATTAGGATGTGCTGAAGCTGAAAGGAGCTGTTTTTTCTTGCTGTTTGCTTGCAAGGAGGTAACTGCTGTGAGGCAGAGGCCAAAGGGTGGGGACCAGTGGGTAGGCGGGGCTACATTCCGTGTATAAGACACACCTAAATTTTCACCCCCTTTTAGGGGGGGAAAAAGGTGTGTCTTATACTCTGAAAAATATGGTACATAGAAGGATAGATTTGAATAATGTCAAAGGACAAAATATTTTAAGATTAACGAAAGCAGAGAATATGTAGAGCAATTGTAATAGGAGAAACATTTCTTTTGGAAATAGGTGAAGAGAGTTTAGCAAAGAGCCTCCAGTAAAGCGAGTGGAATTAAAAATGAAAGTGATAGAATATGGTAATTTGGGAGGAAACTTCATCAAGAGAATGCAGGAAAGTGTATCTTAGAGTTTTGTGTGGGAGTGATGGAGATATCTTGAAGAGTCAGATTGAAATGAATACAATGAATGTTAACATCTATGAAAAGAGATGGAAAGGAAGACATAAATGCTGTGAAAATGTTGAGAAAGTTGCAGTATAAGGACTGTAATTGGCGAAAACGTTAAAATATGGATGTGACTTATGAACTCATATGTGATTTATTTAATACATGTGAAGTCTGCAACTGTGCCTAATTAGAAAAATCTGTTAATTATACCTCTATTACAAAGAAAAAATACAAGTAGTGAATGCAAAAACTATATTGGGGAATTAGTTTGTTAGTTATGCCCGGGAAGATGTTTGCCACAATTCTTACATGATGGTTACATGAGGCAACAACATTTGGGAAGCTCAGAATGATTTTATCCCATGCAGAATATGCATTGGTCAGAAGAGGTTGTAGAAAAAATGGTTTTAAAAGTTAAAAAAAAAAAGTTGGCCACGGCCACCCAGTAACATTACCCCACACCACCAAGCCACGTCCACAGAACCGGTAGTAACAAATTTTACATTTCACCACTGTTTCTACCTATCCCAATGTTATTGCTGGTGGTCTGCAAAATCAAATAAATGAGAGCCCATGATAATAACATTATAATATCCATGGGGACCATAGTTCTCCAGTTTGAAAGCGATGCGCCAGGAGTTTCTTTTGCACAGGTTGAGGTTCCTGTACATATCATACGATACCTGAGCCTGGATTGCCTCCAAGTCTACACGTGGAAATACCGTAGTGGATGGTATCATCAGTAAGAGCTAATCTATGTGTTTTGTATAGATAAGATAGTTTTATGAATGGATTCCTTCTTTGCATTTCCAGAGATCACAAGAAATCATTCTATCTAAAACTGTCCCAAACTTGAGATTGTTATTTGGAACAAGCTGGTCATACCCTGTTTTCCTAAAATTAAGTTATACTTCAGATCTGATAACCAACCAGCCTATTTAGCTACTGGTGGATAAAGCAATCTGTTGCATTGGTACAAATCTCTAAACAAATCCATCTACTCAATATGGGAATCTGCTATAGAACTGTCTAGGAATGGTAATTCCATCTATAAACGTTAACACTGCACTACGTGATCCAGTCCTTCCACATACATTACTACCTGCATTCAATCGCTGTGCTGCAGAGAGTGCTGTATCAGATTCTTAAACCTGTCAGAAGAGGTTAAATCAGTGAAACTGCTAAAATATACCGATATTTACTTTATTGACTTGATGCCTGAGAACAAAGTGAATTAGTATGATGAAGCCGCCTAGTCTGTGGTCCATTTAACAGAAGGGGAGATAGTTCTTTATTAAGTTAAAGAAGAAAACATAGGCCTATGCCTTGGACTTTGTGATGATATGAAATTTGTAATGCTTTATTCAGTAAAGAATATACTGTTCACCCACAAACATGGCTGAAAGGGGGGTTTCCTTCCTAAAAATTTTTTTTTATCTTGGTCCTGCATTTTCATCAGAAGAAGAAATCAACGCTATAGTGTCAGGTTTCTGGTCTAGTGACAAGAAAGATACAGGTAGTCCTCTTTTAATGATGGTATTTGGGACCAGCAACTGTATGGTATTTGTAAAGTACAATTCATGTGATTGCGCTGACTTATGGCAGCAGTTCTGGGGGGTGCTGTCGTTAAGTGAATACTCAGCAGTCTTTAAACGTGATGTCATATGATCGTATTTCCATCCTCCTTTGACTGCTTGTTACAAGCTAGCAGTGAAGGTTACGAATGGTGATTGCTGGACACTGCAACTATCCTACTTGGGAGTTAGTTGCCAGGTGCCAGAATTGTGATCTCATCACCATGAAGATGTTGCAACAGCCAAGACTACAAGGTTCGCATGCAGCAGTGTCAGCAGGACCACATGTTTATCCTTAAACAAGGACTGCCAAAACTTTGTAATAATTACTAGTGGTTGATACTGGCCAAATAAATCTGACAGAATTCTTAAATTTGCTAAGAGAGAGATTGCTCATGCCAATGTTTACCTTTATTTTTCTCCCCAAGCTAGATATTTCTTTTTTTTTAATAAAGTTTTTTTTATTTTTTAAGACAAACATTTAGTACACCGTTCATTTCTTCCATGTGGCACTTCGATGTTATCTTCAAAAATTTCTTCTCTTCTCTATCTCTTCCATCTTCAATCTCACCAAGTCCATTACAAAGGTTTTCCATTAGTTTAATATTCTAATTACAACAATTATTTTTTCCTCAATCTCTTTTAAAACTTATTTATATCTCTTTTCTAACCAATAGTAAAATTTATTCCATATCTTAAAATATTCTGAATCTTCTCTTTCCTTTATCATCATAGTTAATCTATTCATTTCTGCACAATCTACTTTTTTTTAAATTACTTCTCCCTCCAATGGTATATTCTCTGCTTTCCAATTTTGTGCATAAACAATCCTTGCTGCTGTTATTACATGTATAATCAAATACACATTATTTTTACTAATTTTCTCTGGTAAGATACCCAATAGAAATAGTTCTGGTTTTAAGTCTATGCATTGTTGTATCATTTCTTCCACCCATAACTTAATTTTATTCCAGTAGCTTTTTGCTTCAGGGCATGTCCACCACATGTGGTAATATGAACCTGGTAACTGGTGGCATTTCCAACATTTAGCTGATTTATCTTTAAACATTTTTGCCAGTTTCTCAGGGGGTATATGCCATCTATAAAACATTTTGTATTGATTTTCCTTGTATGCAGTGGACATTGTTAATTTATAATTTCTTTCCCATAATTGTTGTCATTTATCCAATTCGATTGAATATCCAAATTTTTTTGCCCAGGCTATCATTGTTTCTTTTACCGTATTTTCCAGCGTATAAGATGACTGGGCGTATAAGATGACCCCCGACTTTTCCTGTTAAAATATAGGGTTTGGGCTATACTCGCCGTATAAGACTACTCCTCTTCCAACTCACACCAAATAAAAATTAAATTAAATAAATAAATAAAATTAAATTAATAAAAATACACACACACAACACAACACAACTGGCTCACCCACAATGTAAAAGCAGCTGTGCTAGACCCAAAATGGCCCCTGCAACAAGGAGGAACCTCACACAGCCACAAAAAGTCCCAAAAACCAACTTTCACACTTTACACACACAAAATTCCACATACAGCTTTGTGAGATTGTGAGTGTTTGTGTAGTTAGAGTGAAACACTACAGAAACACACAAAATCTCAGAAAGCTGCACAAATATTATTTTATTTTATTTTTATTTTTATATAAAAGCAGCTAAATTTAAAACTTCCTAAACTTTAAATGGCTAGGTCTAAAAAAAGAACAACTAAAAAGAACCCCAATTAACTATTTTTTTTTAAAGCTCCCAAAGGGAGCTTACCCAATAGAACAGGGGTCTCCAACCTTGGCAACTTTAAGACTTGTAGACTTCAACTCCCTGCCTGCTTGATTGCAGGCAGGGAGATTCAGTTGCTTGCTGATGCAATCGATTGCAGGCAAGTGAAGCAAGGCAAGTGTTGCAACTAGCAGCTAAAGTAAGCAAGGTGGAGGGGGGGATTTTTGCTACCGATTAGCAGTCAGTCAGAGCCATTTAAAAGAAAAAACTTTTTTAAATGACTCTGGCGATCCAAGCTGAGTTGCCTGATTAGCAGGCAACTCAGCTGGGATGGTCAGAGCTTGGCTCGTCAGAGCCTTTCGGGCTGGTCTACCTGGTTACAGAAGAACGACACCCGGCATATAAGACGACCTCCGACTTTTGAGAAGATTTTCATGTGTTAGAAAGCCGTCTTATACACCGGAAAATACGGTACTTGTTCTTCCTCTAGTTCTATATTTAATTAAAAAATTATAACATTTTAAAATTAATTTATCCTCTGTTCCCATGACTATCTTATCCAGCCCAGTCTTCTCTGAGTAAAAACCCTGTAGTTTAACATCTTTTTCATATCTGCCAATCTAGATATTTCTGTGAGTTTGAAGGTTCATGTAATTTGATATGCAAGTAAATAATGGGGCATATGCAAGATCATCTTTAATAAAGGGAAAACTGTCTCTGGGTTTATCATAATTGGATAACATAATGATAAGACAAGGAATCCTAGCAACTGAGAGGTTACATCACTTATAACTTGCTTCTATTCTAACAATATAACTTTATTCTTTGAAGTGTCCTTTGTAGTGGGATCTTCTTTCCACTAATACTACAAATCTGATTTTTGCTGTAAATGAACTATTAGATATAGTAATTGTCTGGATTTGAATTGCATTTCCATGAACGGAATTCATGTCATCAGAAATAAGGCCTTGTGGGGGAACACTTAAACTACCCCCATCTCTGTTTTTATGTCTATAACAGCAATAGTCTTACTCTTATAGAATGTGTATAAACCTACTCTCTGTCACTTAAGTTTATTTCATTATAAAAGTAATGGGTTACATGAAGAAGATGTATACATTTAGCTCTAATGTCAGTTTAATAACCTACTATATCATGTGTACATTACTACACAGTGTAATGGCTGCTGGAAAATGGCTTCTTCCTGTTCTACTCTTTAATAATACATAAAAGGTTAGGTGACATGCATTTGTCCTGGTCTTGCTGTTTTACTGTGAATTGGCAGTAATGTGATGCAGAAATAATAATAAAGCAGCAGTTCTCTTTCTCTCCCCCCCCCCTGAAATAAGTTACCTTATTTCATCCTCTTTCTGCCTTTTGTAACCCAAATGCATGTTTCCCTTGAACCTCGCAGATAATGTCTAAGCCCAGGTAAAATAGTTACAAGAATTTCCCCCTGCAATAATCAAAATTTTGAGTGGCTGATAATCAAATAATAAAAAACTGGGCTGAAGAGTGCAGGAAGATGGAGAGGTGAGCTGTCATAGCAAGAATGAACTAATGAATTATTTTTATGAGCTAAAGTAGAAATAAGAAACATCTGTAGCTCAGATTTCTGTTTCTGTAATAAACCAATGGATTGGTGAGAATAAAGTAAGAGGAAAAAAAGAGAAGAAATCAACTAATAGTGCTACAGAATTCTACTCTGAAACTGCACATTATTTTAATAAGAAAAGTGATTCTGGAAAGAATCTTAGGGAAATAAAATTTGATTTACATAAACTGAACAGTTTGTTTAATTCATTATTTTCTATATTTTGTTTGTGAAGGCATTTTTCCCCTGGAATTTGTAATGTTATATTAAATGGCTATGCTAAATATTACAAGGAAAAATTGTTTTATCATAAAAGATTATGATAAATGTTTATTATAAAATGATAGATAACTTTCATTCTACTAAAGCAAGTAATTGGTTAACTGGAAACTTTTTTTATAAGGAAGGTGGAGCAGAAGATTAAAAGGAGAGAGGTGTGTGAGAAGAGAAGCAGTTGGCAGAGTAAAAGAGAAAGAAAAATACTAAAAGAAGAGACTGTGATGGCTCTGATGAAGAAGTAAATTCTGTAAATAAATATGGAGCCCTATGACTCTGAAAAGAAACAAATAATAGTAATTTCTCATGTAGTGTAATTGTTAAATAATTTTAATTGTTTATAATCACATGGTTCGTTCAGACAGAATATAGTAAGATGCATAACCTTTTGCTTAGATATTATGTTATCAGGGAAAGGGTTGCTGGAATAACCTCAGTATAAAGTAAGTCAGTCTCTCCCTCCCCCCCTTTCCCCCCCTCCTACCATCTAATTGTTTGTCTGTCTACCTCCCTACTACCTCCCTATCTACCTTTCTACCTACTACCTACCCATCTACCTACCTACCTACTTATCTGTCTATAGTGTAAAAGATTCTAAAGTATCTACTTAAAATGATCGGAGAAACAAAATATATAGTCCTTGACAATTTAATAGTTGGATTATCTTCTAAAAAACAATTCCATAGCCCTCAAACATGCCAAAGAAGATTATTTATAATCTTTCAAGTGCTTTTCTATTTATACATGAAGTGTTCTAGTCCTACAGTTACTAAGTTGTACTTGCCACCCATAAATACTTGGACTACTAGGAGCATATATTGAATGAAAATATCAAGGAGAAATTAGAGAAATAAATTTGGAAGTATAGTGAGGTATACATTGAAATATTTGTTTAATATACTGGTAAGTTGAGTAGAGAATTTTCAGGAAAGATATAGATGACTGAAGGGCTGATGAATGTGGCCAAGAACAAAGAGCCAAAGAGTAAATGGATTCCTTTAACAGTCTCCAGAGAAAGAGAAATTGTGAAATTGCCTAAATTGTGCTCCATATGGCTGCTTGTCACTTGGAGACTACAAGGCAATGGTCTCCAGAAAGTGGGAGAACCGGAATGAGGAAATTTGACATTCTTGCTGCAACCACCACTGTCAAAGCCTTTGAAAGACACTAAGTTCACACTTCCTTTGCTAACCACCTTTTAACCAGCCTATTAATTGCTTTAAAGAAGTTAGATACGCTCAAAATGTCAAGGCTGAGTGTCTTAATAGAAGAAAATAAAATTGTATCTTTATAAACTTTAATTCATAATAAACAGCAAAAAGTAAGACATTGGTTGTAGAAAGTATTACATGGATTAAGGAATCAGTAAACATTGGAATATTGAATATTAATTTTGAATATTAAAATTTTGAATATTGAAACTTTGAAATTAATAAATGCATTTTTGTGGGAAGGAGAATTTATTTCTGATATTGGAGACATAAACAACTTATAATAGTATTCAGAGATATTGTTGAAGAATGGCAGCAGGACCTGGAATTAACAATGTCAGCTATGTTGTGTGTTTTATGAGCACCATATTTCCAGAAGAAATGGTTACACTAGAAGATGCTGTTATAGTAAAAGATTTTGAACAAAATTTATCTGACTTGATTATAGAGAATAATCAGAACAAGAATTTATCTCTGGTATACAAAAAAATTCCTTGAAGCTCTAAAATTTAAGAAGGACATACAATGCCAATTTAAGATTGTTATTAGAATAATGTAGAAAAGAGGCTTCTTAAAGTTTTGAAGAAATTTGAGACAAGGGTTAACGATAATTCAAATAGACTAAAGAGCAAGGATGTTTTATGTAAAAGGGAGGAATATAAAGTTGGTTTATTTGATCAGTGTTATAATGTGGGGGAGTTTATTCTGGACTTCCTGACATCTGTACTGGAAAAGATGTGTCATTGATTTTCTTACAGTTAAGAGTTTAGATATGAAATGAGTTTTGACTAATGCAATTATTTTAGAACTCTTGAACTTTTGCTGACACCTGAAATGGAAAATATGTTGTTTATCGGTCTTGCCTATACAGGTAGTCCTTGACTTATGACCAGTCAGTTAGCAACTGTTCAAAGTTAAGATGGGAGTCCCCAGGGTTATTTATGACCCAAATTTAAAGTTCTAATAGCTGCATCCATCACTCTTGTGGTCATTTAGTCACAGTTTGGGCACATAGCAACTGGCCCATATTTATGGCTGTTTGCAACATCCCGCAGTCATGTGACCACAATTTACAGTAGGTTTTGTTGGAAACTGGCATTTGTACAAAAAATGCACATTGTGGAAAATGGATTCACTTAACAACCACAGTGTTCCCTTTATGGCTACCACATTTGCTTACTGACTGCTACAAAAAGGTTGTAAAATCAGGCTTAACAACCGGCAGGTCTCATAACCATAATTCTGGGCTCATTTATGGTCATAAATTGCAGACTACATGTAGTTATGTGTTGAGTTATGGGATGAGGAGTTTTATTATTTATTATTTATTATTTATTTATTATTTATTATTATGAAGACTAAATGAGAGAAGGTGAAGAGATAGTGAAACTGTTCATAGTTGTTGTAATGAAGTTGGGAAGTTTTCTTGGCAAAATTGTGGAAATGGTTTGCTGCTGCCTTCTTCCTAGGGCTGAGAGAGAATGACTGGTCCAAAATTACCCATCTGGCTTGGTGCCCAAGGCAGGAAAAGAACTCAGTCTCCAATTTCTAGCCTGGTGCCTTCGCCACCACATCAAACTGGCTCTCTTTGCATAGAAGGTAAATAAGGTATACAAGGTAATCGAAGCGTCCATCTCTTTAAATGCTAACTTGTACATCTGGCAGTTCTTGTTGCAGGTATTGTTAAACTCTGGATTGCAAACCTTGAACTATCTTAATCAGCCTGAGGGATAAATGCAACTATTCAGTAATCTGAGCATTCTTTCTGCCCTTTTTTGGTATTAAAATAAGAATTGCTCTTTTCCAGGCCCTTAACCACTGCTTTTTCTACCTGCCTACAAATTATAAATAGTGCTGTGACTATATCATCCTGAAAGGTTTTAACTTTGGTTAGTTTAAAAGAGCTTCTGCAGCTTTATTGTCAGTTATACGTTCTAGAGCCCAATTAACATTACAGAGATCTTCTACCTTCTTTTTTCCCTAGCAGTTCTTTGCCTTCTTTGTCTTTAATCATGTCCATCTTTGCAGAAATGTTTGAGTTGTATTCTAAAGTATCCTAAATAAATCTCTTTTCCTTCCATTTGTTGATAACTTCAGTTTCTTTGCATTATTTATTTAGATGTATCTGTTTGTCTCTTAATCTTCTTCAGAACTCAGCTTTTAATTTAAATTCCTCTGTGTCTTACGCCTTTTTTTTCCTGCTGTATCAGCAAGCACCAATTCACCTTCTGTTATTTGCATTTTGGGATATTTTTGTTTGCATCATCTTAATGATGTCATGAACTTCAATCCCAATTTACTCTGCTACTCTAGTTATCCAACCTAATCCATTAAATCTAATCTTCATAGTAACTTCATAATCATATAGACCACGGTTGAAGTTGTACCTTGTTGGTCTGATGATTTTGTTTTTCTTAGCATAAATTATAATTTTCAAAAAGGAGTTTGTGAATTGAGCTTCAATCAGCATTAGGCCTTAATTTTGCTAATTAAAAGAACAAACATACAACATGCTTATAACAGGAATTGAGACCAAAATTTCCATCCTTAAGTGTGCGAGAGGCGTTGGTCTGGAAGAAAATTCCAAAGATCAATCATAACAGTCATTCAGTGCCATTGTAACTTTAAACGTTTGCTAAATGAATGGTTATATGTTGAAGACTGCCTTTTTTGTTTGGAGAGTATATAATTAGTTTGATTTTGATGTTGTCAATCTTATGATGTCTGCATGTAGTTTCATTTAGATTGTTGAAAGAAGATATTTGCCCTAAAGTTTGAATTTTCTTGCCAGAACTTTTCTTAATTTGATTCCTCCTTTCCAAGGTCGACTTCTCCATTATTCATATATGAATATATATGATATAATATACTATTATATAACATAATATTTTATTTTCAGGTTAAGCATTTCAGTTTCCTGTAATTTATGTATTGTTGGTTTTTGGGGGGGAGGGTATTTGTTATCAGAAACCTAGAGTTGGCTTGTTGTTTTCTTTTTTCAGTGAATCATATTTACTGTGATTCCTTACCTATGATGTGCCTTTCATGCTTAACCTTACTGGGAATCTATACTTTCAGTTATAAGTGTCATTGAGATCTGAAAGCCCCTTCAATAATAGAAGGCAGAATTGCAGATAAAGTTTTACTAAAGTCATTACTCCCTAAATTGACTGTAAAAATAATATGGATGCCCTACATTACTTCCTTCAGGACATCATTATTGAAAAAGCCCTTTCATTATGTGAGAGAAATTTGATAATAGTCTCTAGTGGAGATCTTAGTGTCCTAATAGGAAAATGAGAAGGAACACTTCTTCAGATTACATGACTGAAAGCTATTTAGGTTTTATAGAGTAATACTACTTCAAATTAGACCTTGAAAAATGTCCTGCCCACCAGTGCATATAGCAAAGCACTGATATATGATTGTATCAGATGATACAAGTTGGCTCTGGTTTGAACTCATTGAAGTTTCTGAAAAATTTTCAAAGGAGACTCCATGTGCAATATATTTTTATAATCCAGCTGGAAAATTATTGGACCATGAAAAGAGTGTTGCAGGGATACCTCTGTGCAGATATGGTCATAGCAGATATAGTAGTCTGAGCACCTTAGATTTCTAGTGGCAGTCATAGATCCAGATGTATATTAATCATTTAGATTAATATGCAGGTAGTCCTTGTCTTACAATAGTTCATTTAATGACTGTTCAAAGTTACAATGGCACTGAAAAAAGTGACTTTTGACCGTTTTTCACACTTAACAACCATTGCAGCATCCCCATAGTCACATGATCAAAATTCAGATGCTTAGCAACTGGTTCATATTTATGACAGTTGCATGTCCTGGGGTCATGTGATCAGCTTTTGAGACCTTCTGAAAAGAAAAGTCAATGGGGAAACCAGATTCACTTAACCATGTTATTAGCTTAACAAATGCAATGATTCCCTTAACAACTACGGCAAGAATAGTTGTAAAATGGGGCAAAACTCACTTAACAAATGTTTCACTTAGCAACATGAATTTTGGCCTCAATTGTGGTCGTAACTCAAGGACTACCTGTATTATATATTAATCTAATATTCAGTGCAGTTTGCTCTATAATAGAGTTGATATATTTTAAATGAGAAGATCTCTCTCTCACACACATACCACAGTATATTTACCTTTAAATCATAGTTTATTAATACTCAACCAATTAATTATCAATATTGAAAGTATCCGCAAGATCAGTCACCATCATCAAAATGATGAAAGCAGATCTAATGGCATGTGTGGATGACCTTGGGAAGTCGGGAAATGATGTTTCCTAGGAAACAATCAGCCAAGAGAGGGAGGAGCCCTCTCTGACCACCGGCTCAGTGGTCAGAGGAAGAAACTTAGGAAGGAACTGCTCTAACTGATCGGGTGGTTAAAAGTGGTGGCAGGAGGTTTGTACCTTCAGACTTGCACTTTTATATTAATATAAGGTAAAGGTAAAGGTTCCCCTTGCACATATGTGCTAGTCGTTCCTGACTCTAGGGGGCCATTTCAAAGCCGAAGAGCCAGCGCTGTCCGAAGATGTCTCCGTGGTCATGTGGCCAGCATGACTAAACACCAAAGGCACATGGAATGCTGTTACCTTCCCACCAAGGTGGTCCCTATTTTTCTACTTGCATTTTTTAAGTGCTTTCGAATTGCTAGGTTGGCAGAAGCTGGGACAAGTAATGGGAGCTCACCCTGTTACACGCACTAGGGATTCGAACCAATGAACTGCCAACCTTTCAATCAACAAGCCTAGCGTTTTAGCCACTGAGCCACCGCGTCCCACATTATATTAATATAGTCTTTATATTACATTAATATATTATATTTACTATTTAATATATTATAAAATATATTTATATTTAAATAAATATATAAAATATAAAATTTATATTTAATATATTTATATTAAATTAATATATTATATTAACATTATATTAATATAGTCTTACAATAAAGTAGAGTGAGCTCATCTAGTGGTGTCTCCTATCTGGTTTATCTGGGAGAGCTTACATCAACCATGCAACTCTAAAGGTACAAATCTCCCACGGCCATTTTAACCGCCCGGTTAGTTAGAGCATTTCCTTCCTAAGTTTCTTCTTCATTGAATGCCGTTGTCTTGTAACCATGTAGACTTGTAGCAGGATACAAAATTCTCCTAGCCAGAGACACAAGGCAGGTAGATCAGTGAGCTTTGTAGCAATATGATGGATAGATTTACGGATGGACGACAGAACAATTTGGGAAAAAATTACAGCTCTCTGCTTTCTGTTGTGCAAAAAATAAAGATGAAAGAGAAACAATTTAAAAACTGGTGGTAGTATGAATTACAGAAGGTAGAAGAGATTCTGGCTAAGTAGTTAGAACACAAAGTGTAAGTTGCTCGTATGTTCCTCTTTCTCTCTCTGTGTGTGTAGAAAACGGTAAAAGCAGTGGAAAAATATGGAACAATTACAAATAAAAGGCAGCTTTTTCAAATCTTGGCAACTGCATAATTAAATGAGGCTGAATGACTGTATAAAAGAAGAATGGTTTCTGTTTGGTTTTGCTTAGTTATAAAATGATCTTTGTATAACTATGAACAATGCAGTTTTCCTCATTAGGTAATTGTTTCATAGTTATTCTTTTTAAAGCTCTTTTAAATCTGATATACTTTGGACTTACTCGAATAGTGAAATATGTCTTGTTTGTAATAAATGATGCCAGAGGTCATAGAATCTACATTTTTTCCCTAACCATCATAATTTTGTGCTGTATACTGTCAAATTAGATTGCTTATGATTGTATGTTGTACAATTGTTCCATTAAATATAATGATTTATGAAATCTGCTTTGTGGTCAGAGGTTTTCTGTGTTTAATATAAATGGAAATCTTTGGTAGATAAATGCATTGGGATTTGATACATGAATACCATATACAACATTAATTGTATTTATCCATTATTTCAACAAATAAAATTTGGGGAAGAATCAAACTTTTCTAACACTGAGTAATGTTTCATGTGTCCAAAACCTAAACTTTCCTGCTTACCTCTCAAATGCTGTTAAAGGAAATTTAAATTTTGCAAAGTGAATTTTAAAGTCAAGTCTAAATCCCAAGCAAATTCACATTGAACAGAAGAAATATATATATATAAAATAATGGGTTAATGCTGATAATCTTCTTCCAAGCTACAAGAGGTTTTTTTTAATTCATATTAAAAGTTCACACATGGTGTTTCCCCAAAAATAAGGTCTTATATTTTTTTTGTACCCTGAAATAAGCACTTGGCAGGGGTGAAATCCAGCAGGTTCTGACAGGTTCTGGAAAACCAGTGGTGGAAATTTTGAGCAGTTTGGAGAACCGGTAGTGGAAATTTTGAGTAGTTCGGAGAACTGGCAAATACCACCTCTGGCTGGCCACAGAGTGGGAGTGGGAATGGAAATTTTGCAATATCCTTCCCCCAAGAGTGGGGAGGGAATGGGGTTTTTGTAGTATCCTTCCCCTGCCACGCCCACCAAGCCACACCACGCCCACCAAGCCACACTCACAGAACCAGCAGTAAAAAAAATTGGATTTCACCACTGGCGCTTGGCCTTATTGCCATGTGCTCAAAAGCCCAATTGGACTTCTTATCAGGGGATGTCTTATTCTGGGGGTGGGTGGGTGGGTGAAAGAAGTAAACTACAGAACTGTTTTCTATAGAGTTCTTGTCTTTTAATTTTATATATGAATAATTTCTATATAACTGAATTTATGTTTAACTCATCTTGAGCTAATTTTATATTTAAACTTTTTTTTTTTCTATGCAGGCCCAGAATGTTCTTCATCAGGATGGTTTTCGGGTACTGATTCTCTGTGGCAAGCCACAGCAGGTCCAGCCAGCCGTCAAAGTATCCATATCAGAAGACACAGCATAGCTTCTGACAGTGGGGACACAGGTGTTGGAACTTCCTGTTCTGATAGTGTGGAAGGTCAGTAGCTATGCTTAAACCAAAGGACGCCTGGTAGAAAATCAGGAATAATTGTTGTTTGAATAATTAAAAAGCAGAGAAAGATACAAAGACTTAAAGTGACCTGTCTAAAGACTAAAAGATGCAATATGATCTTAAGGATGGTTTACTTAGGAATTAAAATCCATTCTGTTTTTTAAATTTAAGTTTAGATTTAAATAAATAAAGTATAGGATTGCATTCATGCTTTTGTTTTCCTTCTATTTTAAAAAAAGTCATTGTAAAAATTTAATTTGAGTATGTATATGTATATGTATATGTATATGTATATGTATATGTATATGTATATGTATATGTATATGTTTAGTGGGCTCCATAGATTTTCAACCCAATTGAAAATCTATGGAGCCGACTAAAAAAAACTTGTTAGTCAGAAGTGATCCAGCAATAAAACTGAGTTAATAGAAGCAATCATTCAATCTTGGTTTCACATTATAACAGCTGCAGAACTAAAAGACTTGGTTTACTCCATGGAAAGATGTTGTAAGGCCATAATTCATGCTAAAGGTTACCCAGCTAACTATTAACTGACGTGATAATTTTTGTATATCTCATTTTTTCTACATGTTTCACTTTTATTTTTTATACTGTAATTGCTATTCTAATAGCAAATCCTTCATAAAAGTTATTGCATTACATTCTTGATTAAATTATCTTTCCATTGATATATAATTTTATGGTACTACTCCAAAAAAAGTGGTGTTATTAGCTAGTTTTAGAAAATACACTTTTCCCAAAAGGTTTCCACAATTCTAGTGCTACCTTTAAAATAATCTAAGGAAATATTTCAGTATAATATTGATAAGTGTTTTGCAAAACAGTGTAATATAGCATGACTAACAATTTTAATGGTGTAAATTTATTTAACTTTCTAAAGGAGTACTGCTGAAAATATTTTGTAATTAAAATCAAATTAACAGAATTAAATGCAAAATAAAGAGGGAAACAGATACCTTGTGAATTATATAAAATGCATTTTATTTAGTCAAAGCATTCTTGTGTCCATATAAATAAGAACAGAAAAGAGGCAAAGACTTTAACATATTCATAATACGTTGCATATTCAACCTAATGAAGTTTTAGGAGAAAAAATGTGATATGTTTTATAAAATTTCTATTAACAAGCTGAGAAAAGAAAACTATATGAATATTTAATGATGATGGGAAATCAGCCAGAAGTATTGAATCAGTTTTAGTTTAGAATTAAGAAACAAACTGTCAAACATTGCTGTACAGTCTTCGTTCCTGGAGATTTTTCATAGAAAACCAATTGTACAGTTGTAACTTAGAAACTGAATATTTATTGGCATCTGGTCCTCAGCTTTGCCAGTTACCACATCACTAGATAGTGACATCTTTTTAATGAATTATTTGCTGACTGCTATGCTAATGGGGTAATGGGAGTGGGGCCATACAGACTGCTCTGATATAGTTAATCTTGTTCTTTGTTGGTGTGGTCTTCAGGAAAAGAGTGAAGTCAGCATTATTGCAAAATAATATTTGATGGCTTGGCTTATCCTCATATTGATTGACAAGTTTCTTTAATTTTTAGTTATGGTTGTTTTTGCTTTGTTACTGAAAGAATGCTTTCCCCCCCTTCTCTCCCTTACCTTTCATACGCATGTTCTATTATTTTATATTGCATGTATCATCATCATCTTAGCATTTTTCCTGCACATACAGGGTCTGCTATTTATACTGCATGTATCACTTTTTTAATGTATTGTTATATACAATACAAGACTCACTGGAGAAGAACCTAATGCTGGGAAAGATTGAGGGCAAAAGAAGAACGAAACAGCAGAGAATGACATCTGGCTGGATGGAGTCACTGAAGCAGTAGGTGTGAGCTTAAATGGACTCCAGAGGATGGTAGAGGACAGGAAGGCCTGGAGGAACGTTGTCCATGGGGTCGCGATGGGTCAAACACAACTTCGCAACTAACAACAACAACATTGTTATATATATATTTGCTTTTATTATAAAGTGCTTTAAGATATTTTGGCATAGAAAACTATATACAAAAATTGCATGTAGCATGGGCATGAGAGTAACCTGGTCTATACCTGCTCTATCTTAATACTGTCTGTGATTTATGAAAGAATTGAAGGGGATGAAACCTAGATTAAGTGATGCCTGAGGCCAACTAAGAACAAAGTGTGTTCACCTGAACCCAGATTAAAGCTAGTATTGAGACCCACTTTATAGCAGCAATGGCAGCAAAGAGCCACTTCACCTTGTGAAGCCACTTCACCCTCTGTGGATAGCCACTTGGTGGCCCTCTCAGGTAGAGGAGACTCAGAGGTACACCTAAACGGGCACACAAAAGATTTTGCAGACTATCTGTTGGACAAAATTGCTCAAATTCATTCCAGTTAACCCTGTAGAGGTGTTGGAGATGTAGTTTAGCCATATTATCTAGGAAGAGTTTGAATCTATTGGACCTGGGGAAAGTAGACAGGATCCTCATGGTCATCTGCTTCTTAAACTGTGCCTCTCCTCTGTGGTGAAAGTTTCCAGCTGTCTATCTCTACCCCTAGTGAAGTAAGCAGTGCTGTTGACTTTCTGTCTCTGTGCCTCAGAGGCTCAGGCCTTTGAAATAATCCAGTCAAGAAACCATGAGTACTAACATTACCTTTATTATACAGATTCAGTATGGAATCTTGTAAGCATTAAAGCATTTCTTCCACTGCCTTTATTTTCCAGAAAAGTAGGGAGGGTCCTTTCTGAGAAACTTTCTCCATCTCCATCCCTCTTTTCGACTCAGGATTCTCCTGTCAAGCCTTTGTCTAGGTTATAGCTTTTTCTCCTGTCTCCTAAGTTAGAGTATATGAAAAACATTAATGCTGTTGTTATAGATGGTATAATTTAAAAAGTAATTAAGCTGTAGGTGTGATTTCCTTATGAAATCACACCTACACCTTTAGTTTTTCAGTGTTCTACACTCTAACCAAAAATTGGATTATCAGCAGTAATATTCGCCTATAGCTTTCATGGGCTGTAGTTAGTCTTGTCAGACTATGTAACACTACCTCTGTCTTTACTGGGCGTGATTTTATTAAACATTCATGAATTTAAAAAAACAAGATTAGAAACTATTTTCATGGTATTTATAAATTTTTGATAAGTCTGCAATGTTGAAGATTTAAATGGCTTTCCCTTCTAATGGATATTCATTTTTTCCAGAATTTTAGGCTGACAATTATTAAAGCTATAAAATCAGTTTTTAAAATAGTTACCATAAAAATACTTCAACATTATTTGTTGAGATGCCAATAAACATTGAAAAATTTATACTTGTCTGTAAAGGATTGCCTTATTAAACAGGAAGACATTAATCAATTTTAAGACTATCTTAGGTTAATTGAAGAAGAGGGTGTAAAGTCTGTGCTGTATCCTCAGTTTCCTTAAAGTATATATGGTAGTAAGGTATATTAAATTTTGCTTCCCAACACTTTGCAATTATAGCATCTTTCAAGAGAGCATGGGAAGGTACAGTATAATTTATCCAGTATCCTGCTTGTAGCTTGATTTTAACAAATTTCAATCTGTTTTGTGTTGTTGCCCATTTCAAAAGTAACCTCAGAATGTTTTTCTGTTTCCTGATTGTTTTTGCCAAACAACTAATATCTATTTTAATATCTTTTTTCCTGTACTTGTCAAGACTCTTCCCTCCCCTTTTCTAAATGCTTGCATTTCTTGTTCTAGAAGAAATGCTAAGGAGTATCAAAATAATTGCCAAAAGATAAGCAATTGTGGGCACTATGGTAAATGCCTCAACTAAACAGATTCATTTTTTCTTTCAAAAATATTATATTGCTTGAAAATAAACTGAAGTGCAAAACAGTGTTCATGCTCTTAAATACAGTATATTGAAAATACCTTAGGCCTTAAAATTCAGCGGTACAATGCGATGAAAAGAGGTGAAGGAGGTTTAAAAAAACAGCTATAGAGCTGATAGCATTGCTTTTCTTTAGCAGTGAACAATGGTTAACAGTTGAATGAGAATCTTGTGCTCAATGGCTGCTTCATTTTATTTCTTTTCTTCTTATATCTGAACTGCTGAAGAAACAAGTATTCAGTTGAACCTATTTCAGTTTTTAAAAAAAGAAATAATAGTGGATGGAAGACAAGGATTTTTTTTAAAAAAGTGTGATTATAAGAGAAAGAAGTCATAATATTTATTCAGATACACTGATTTTTATGAAAAGAATATGAACTAATATTGTTATATGCTCCATTTCTTTGAATGATATGATGTTCCATGAGCAATGCTTCAGAGTTTAAGGATTTTTTTTGGTTGAAAAATAGAGAATTATCATATATATTGTATTAGATGAATGTTCTGTCTTTTCTCCATCAGCTAAATGTGTTGTCCATGACAGTCTTTTTGTGCAAAGCAGCATATAAGGAGTTTGCTTTGCAAACATTGTTTTATCTGGATGACAGGTTACTACTGATGGCACTTTTCCCCCCCAAAGTTTTTGGATTGCATAATGCCTCATGATTTATTCTACTCCTATGTTTTTCAAAAATTATATGAAGGTGTTCAGGGAAATTATCAAGAAATGCAAGCCCCAGTGCCATCTTTACTGAATGACGCTCAGATCTTCTCTTTCCCTTTCTTGGCAGATGTGTAGGCCTCCATAATCCACTCCTGCTTGGGCCAAATTGTAGTGCGGATGCAACATAAACAAACTGAAACTGAATCCAGACAAGCCTGAGGCTTTGGTTCTTAGTGATCACTCTTTCTGATTGGCAGTATACTGCTCTGCCTTTTGTATTGAGGTTGCAGTTCCTCTAAAATAATACTTTCATAGTTTGGAGATACTTCGTAATGTTGCAACAGTCCGGACGGCTCAGGTGAATGCAGGGGTGATGAGTGCCAAGTTTCAGTTATGTTTGATGAACATCAGCTTCACTGCTCCTTGATAAGGCTGAACTGGATTCCAAATGTGCTA